CGATGGTCGTTAGCAGCTGGTGTCCGCGTAAGCAGCCATTAGCACGTCTTCAACTTCCCGGGTCAATAATTTATTCGTCCGCCGCCGCGGGAGTCAAATTTCCAATAACGGCCAATGAAAATTTTATCTTAACTGGAGAATAAGAACTGGCTGATTAGGTATCAGCGTGACGCTGATACAGCGGTCGAAAGTGTGAACGCGTTTATGCAGCGGAGGCGCCGCCGTTATCGATGCACCGGTCACCGGGAAACACGCTTCGGAAATATATGATACCACTGTTGCCCAGTCATCCGTTCGCAGCACAGTAATTAGAGCCTAGGCCGTTCCGTTCAAGATCCTGCCGCCTCGAAATCGTACGGTCGTCTTTTTTTCATTGCTCGATTGCCGCATAAACAACATCGTCGCCTTTTCCGACTGGCATCTCGTCACGCAATTAAGCAGCTTAAACGATACTTATCTATTTTATCGCCGGAGATGATTAGCTCGCCGATCGATTACCTCGATCAGATTCCAGTCTCTTTCATGCATCTAACGAGAACCGATTACTGTAAATCGGTCCGACCGAAGATCAAACTTGAACAGCTTCGCGATATTTCGTTGTAGCAAGGTGAATGGTAATTTCTGGTAATTCCGAGGAATTCGCAAGAGAGGATTTTCGCGGGGATCGTCGCAGGAATCGTCGCGGGGGGGGGGGGCAAAGAAGATCTCCGTGTTACAAAACAAACGTGTTTATTTCTCATGGTTCGTCGCATGAAATGGAAAGTGGCAGTTAATTTAATAATTATGTAACAGATCGTGGATACAATAATGCGTGATCCGATGAGCGTATTTACAATAATACAATACAATCAATTTGAAGTAGTCGCAAAGACCGCGAAGTTCTAGGGACGCGCTCAAAACGCGACCGGTGCCTACCGTTATTAGGCGTACCAACGAGTAAAATCGATCGCTATCCACCGATACCGATAAATAACCTGCTCACGAAGAGATCCGATCTTCGCCGCAGAATTCGCCTTTTTATTCAAAGCGAAGAAAACATAGCATTGGCTCGCGCATTGAAACGTCCGTCGTTGGACCGTGGATTTTACGCGACGACGTCATTTAACGACGAAAATGAATACGCGCGAAACGATCGGGAATCGACTTATTCAAATTATTAGGAAAAAAGTAAACGCGCTGTTTATTGCAATCTGCGGTATGCGCGAAGATCCACGGTCCAATCGTAATAATAAAGAAAATACTGCAACAAAACTGAAAGGATGCTAGAGCGTTTAGTATGATTCTGCACGATGCTCGGCTCGCATCTCGCGTCAAATTAAATCGTCGCACGATTAAAAAGGATAAAGACGGAACGGGTGGATCGCTCATTGGTACGCCTAATCATTTACAAGTGCGGCTGACCCGTCCCCGGTGTGCTCGAAAAAGTGTGCGTGAGTATTTACAACGTTAGATATACACAGTATTTACACAGAGAATTCTCTCACTTACGGACTAATAAGCGTTTGGCGACCGTTGCTTTAACCAAAGACAGTCGTGAATCTTAGGAACGAGGTCTCGCTAGAGACTTCTGTCTTTTCTCTCATTTCTATCTACTATCTCTCTCTCTCTCGCTCTCTCTCTCTCTCTCCCCCTTTCATTCTTGTGCTCTGTGCCCAGTTTTGTACCAGGTAATCCATCTTCTTCTCCTTTCTCTTTTGTCGAACCTCTCGCTCTCTCTCTCTCTCGTTCTCTCTCTCTCTCTCTCTCGTTCTCTCTTTTTCACACACTCTCTATATCACGAATTGACAAACAAACGACAGGAATGAGAACTACGGATACGCAGTCGCTCCGTCTCCCGGACGGAAAAAATATATACGATTAGTACGAAGGAAAGTTCATCCCGGGATCCGGAGTTCACACAGCAGCGTATCATTCTCGTCTGATCTCATGTTTCTTATCGGCGAGACGGGTTACGACGGCGGCGGCGGTTGGCTCGACTGTCCTCGGTCGCTATTGCATTCGTCTCTGCATCGGATTAGAAAATACAACGTCGCAGAAATTAAAAAAAGAAACAACGATCGAACAAGATTCTCTGTCGCGGAAATGTTTCGTGCCCCGGGGCGCGCCCACCAAAATCATCGAGTTCACCCCGAAGTTCGTTCCCGTCGGAAACTAACGAAGAACAGACGACTAGTCGCAATTAAATTCAAATATTTGCCGGAACAGAACGATTTTTGTCGGACAAGCCGAAGTACGAACGAAACAGACGGTTCAGAAGCCAATCAGTGTAAGTCCGTTTCTCTTCGAGAATTAGTTAAGCGATTCAAACACGTATTTATCGTAGGATCTTTCGGTCGATAAATCAATGTAGTGAATTTCTTTATAAATAAAAGATAGCAGTACTTTCACGGTTCTATACTGATATTTAAACGAAAATCCTCCAAAACGACTATATTCGTATATTTATATTTTCTATTATTTCTAATATAGAAGTATGCAAACACGATATTTTGTGAAGTTTTTGTTTAAATATCAGAAAGAAATGTAAAAGTTACTCTGTCACGACTAATTTGCGAAATACTTGGACTTACGCTTTCGAGCCGACCAAATAAACGTAAAAAATTCGAATCTCGTCGCTGCTGCACCAATTCGCAGGGAAACTAAATCAATTCTTTTCGAAAGCGACGAGTTTCGGTGTAACAACAATTTCGCCGCGAGCATTGTCGGTCGATGTGTCAGAAATTAGGACGGCGAAGTAAATTAAATCCGAAACTAAGCGCGCTTTTAACCGTTTCAAAGTATTAGGCTGTCGGGGTGAATGCTCTTCATTCGATCGGAAGTATGAATGCGCCGGAATGCGGCGCGAAGCGCGAACCATAGCTGAAATTGAAGTTACGCGAAGCACGCCGGTTGCACGGTTAATGGAAAATGAAAATATTAATTACACGCAAATATGGCGGCCGATGAAACCTTTTGTAACAAATTTCGCGTGATCGGAGGCGCGCGACCCCGTCGTTGCGACGCAGGGAAACGTGATTTCGAAACTTTTTCCTCGTTAACGGGTGTGCGCCCAAAATTCCAAGCGAGCTTGCACAAGTCGCGGACACCTGTACAAAGACTAAAACGCTGTCGCGTCGGGAGATTAATTACCGGATAACTTAAAACACTGCGATTTCGAAGAACTCGACCCGAGAGTTTGCAACCGGGTCGTTCGAGAAAATTAGCCGGTGAAAACACAAAGAACCGTGCGTTCGCGTTTAAGAGGAAAGAGAAAACGGGACGTCGCCGAAATAATTGAAGGGCCGGCGATAAGCCGCGACGAACAAAAAAGTTTCGCGGAACTTTCCGGCGAATAATCGACGCTTCGCTCGAGGGTGACGCGCGATTTAAAGACAGCCCTCCAATTATTTCCAGGCCGCGTTGCCTAAAACAAGTTGCCCCGCAGTTTAATTGGAACGAAAATTTCGTAACGACCCGGCGACGACTTCAGTTCCGCTTTGTCGGGGTGCTGACAAAAATCCGGTGACGCGCGGGCGGTCCGCGTAACAAACGAGCGCGTTCGCGGGGGCATTAGCGGAAAATTAAGAACGTAAGTGGGCATGCCTCGTGAAATCCCATCGAGCCGTTCCATCGGGTAAAAAGCAAAATAATAAATAACGAACACGGGGGCAAGAGAAGAAGGCCGAATTGCCGACCGTTGCGATCGATCGCGGCCGGGTCTCGGCGAGTTCCACGAGGCGGAATGGGATCGAGAGGGTATCGCGATCGTTACGCGATCATTTTTCGCGCTCGCGGCCGGCGTCGCGACGCATCGCATGGACAGTCGTGCCACCCGCGCGGACGAGGGCGCGCGCGTGAAGACGCTAATTGTGCACGCGCCGTGCTCCGATGCTGGCATTCCAGCTCTAACGAGCGACGAGAATAATGTTACGAATCTATGTCCTCATTGACTGCCATTTCCTAAAGTTACCCTCCGCTTTATAATTACACAATATACATTTATCGTAGAAGATCAGAGACAGCTCGTCGTACGTTCTCTCTCTCGACTAATACGTAAAAATAATGACTCGATCACGGACCTCGCGAAGTGCTCGTTCATCGGTCGCTCTACCACTTTCGAGCAGAATCTAAGAATGAATAGAAGCCCGGTCGCACACCGGGCTACGTCATCCAGCCGTGAATTCGTCGGTGATATTCGATTCGTGTTCACCCTGTCAATTAAAAGATGATGCGATCGTATCGGTGCTCGTCGGCTGCCGTCGAAACGGAATAATTCGTCAGTGTCTGTTAAAGAAGCGACGGTACGATACGATCCGCGTATGTCCGTTCCGTTAAAACCGTGACAAACAGAAGCGGAAACAGAGACTTCGTCGTCGCTCCGGTCGCCGGTGCCGTCGAGCCAATTATTAAACATTGAACCCTTGCGTCCGCGGAACCGTTCCAACTTTGAATTTCCGTCTCGATCCAGGTCGCTTCGAGACTGTGTCCGAGAAACGCATACCTTAAGTATAAATATATTTTACAGTTCTAACAGTGCGAGTGCGACGCTTGAAACCGAAAACAAAGTCTGACCCGATCCTTTCGCGCGTCACTTTCTTCGTGCCCGCGAGATCAAAAGCGTTATTGCTTCGATACGATAAACTTCTCGATTTAAAACGAACGACTAACATTCCCGAGACTCTGTCAGAAATTGTCCCGAGAACGTTGTTGCACACAGCTAGGGTTACGGTACCAACAGGACGCAAAGGGTTGAACAACCGCGCAACAATAAAACAGAAAGATTCGGTCATCGAACAATGGACGCAAACTTTTTCCTCCTCTATTCGTGACCGGCAGCATTCCGTCGGAGAGCACGGCCGCGTGTTTCTCAGCGGGTGAACCACCCCGAAAGCGAGTATCGCGGACGAAAGAGCACCCCGCACAACGAATCGCGTTACACGGAAACAATTAAATAAACCTGTCTCTGTAATCGATAAACCCTACGCGCGTCGAAGCCTCGCGTCCACTCTTTCTCTCTCGCACTCTCTCTTTTTCTCTCTCCCTCTCTCTGTTGTCCGCGAGGCGATACATTCTAATCCCCCAACCCCCGAACGCCGGGACACTCTCCGGCGGCCGGAAGCGAAAGGGAGAATCCCCAGTCGGAGGGATTCTAGTGGAAGAGCAAACAGACGGACGCGCGGAAACGGTCGGTTCGTCGTTGGATCAAACTGTACAAATACCTACGCGCGTCCCTGTCGCGTCCTCGAGCGGATTTCCGTGCCGGGGTCCGTCAGAGTCCATCCCCTGGCCCGATAGACGGCGGATCTTCGCGTGGTCGACGACGAGACCGACAACGAGGACAACGGTGCCCGTCTATACTAGACGAAGTAAGTACGAGGATTGGTCGGATGCGTGAGCACCTCGCCAGGAGGTGCGGTGGGCACCACCGGCGGTTCCGGTATGGTGCTGTAAAGATGGCTGCCTCTGGATGAGAGGCTGGCTGGCCTGGCGCTTCCGGTGTGGAGCGCGCTGTACCCGCTGTGCTGGTGCTGATGCTGGTGCTGGTGCTCCGCGCCGCTGTCCTCGTCCTCGGTCCTGCTGGACGCCGAGCTGACATAGGTGGACTGCGTGGGCGTGGGCGTGGGTGCGTGCACCGGTGCGACCAAAACGCCATTAGGCTTGGTCCACACGTCGCCGGCGGACGGGGCCGCGGTGTAGCGGGCCGGCGTGCGATTTCGGTCGTTCACCTTCTTGCTGTCCCGCCGTTTGCCGACCGAGTCTGGCATGGCGAACCGCAGCTTCTCCCAGAACCTCTTCTCGCCCCACATCACGACCGTGCAGGTCTGCAGAAGCAGCTGGAGCTCGGGATCGCGGGCGGGCGCCTCGGTGGCCAACAGCACCACCACTCGCCTCTTCCTGGAGCTGGGTCTGATGTTCTCCAGCGCTGTCCTAAGGGCGGCCCGGAACTCGGCGTGCTGCCACTCGTTCGCCAGGAAGACCGGCGAGAAGATGATCACGATGCGTCTGGCGGCCGCGGCGGCCGGCGGGACCGCCTCTTGCGGCCTGGCCGGCGGCAAGTCTCGCCAGTGCAGACAAAGAGCCAGGCCGGATTGCTCGAGCTCGGCTGCCAGGAACCTGGAGACAAAGTCCTCGTCCCGCTCGCTGTAGACTATGTAACCGTCGTAGAGGCGGTCCCTCTCCTCGTCCGGCGGCGTGGTCATCTTGCCAAGTCGTAGACCGTAACGGGCGTGCGCCCATAGACGCACGTCCTGCCGGAAAGCGAAGGCCAACGCGACGAACAGGCAGATCGCGATCACAGCCACCAAGGCGCCGGCTAAAAGCGGCACAAAGTTGCCACCCAGCAGAGGGATTTCCTGAATGCCGCGGCTGACGGCCTCCGTGGACGGATCGCCGCAACGCTTCATAGCTTGCGCGAGGGTCTCGACGCCGTCGCGGCAGTACATCTTCTCCGGATCGCCGCGGTGCTCGGCGAGCCATCCCCGCAATTTCGCGGCGTTGCCGCACTCGCAGCTCCAAGTGTTCCCTTCGAGGGCGACCTTCGCTTTGTCCCCGACGCTCGGCAACGCGTCCCACGGCCGGAAGTCGACGATGCGGTTGCTGTCCAGCCGCAACACCTCCAGGCTCTGCATCTTGCGGAAGGTCGTGTTGCCGACGGCCGCGATCGCGTTGTGATCCAAATACAGCTCGGACATACGTTCCAGCTGATCGAACTCGAATCCCCTCAGCTCCCTCAACGAGTTGTCCTCGAGATGGAGAACTCGGAGCGCTCTCACGCCGTTGAACGTGCAATTGTGCAACGCCGCGATCCCGCTGTTGTTCAGATACAACACCTCCAGCTGACGCTTGCCGATGAACACGTGGCTGGCCAGCTCGCCGAGATCGTTCCCGTCCAGATAGATCTCGGTCGCGTCCATGGGAATCTGCTCCGGTACGTGTTTGTAGCCGGCGTTCGAGCAGTCGACCACGTTGCTCGACCAGCTGTGGTCGTGGTAACAGGAACAATTGTCCGGGCAGGTCATCTCGCAGTCGCACGCGTCGAAGTCGCAACAATGGCATAGCGCGAAACAATGCGCGTCGTATCGGCAGAGGAAGTCCTTCGGCTTCAGGGAGAGCAGCGGTCGGCGAGGTGTCGCGCGCGCGTGCACCATTTCGCACGTGACCGACTTCAGGTCCATTACCCGGGGATGCTGGCGCAGACGGGCCATCTCGTTGATCCTCGGCAACCATTCCATGCTGCAGTTGCACACAATCGGATTGTTCCCTATGTAGAACTCCGGCAGCTCCGCGTCGTCCGGCACCGTCTGCAGCGTCAGGGCGGCCAGCTCGAGATGCTTTATCTCGTTCCCGTACAACACCACTTTCTCCAGGTTGGTTTTCTGCAGGAACGTACCGCCGCCGATCTTACCTATCTTGTTGTCGTTCAGGAACAACGTTTCCACGCTGTCCGGCACGTTCGCGTCCGAGATCTCCAAGATCTGGTTGTAGCTCGCGTCCAGCATCTTTATAGACAACGTGTTCCGCAACATGTAATAATCCGCGAGCTCGCTTATCTGATTCGCGTGTATGTCCAGCCATTCTATGCTGCTCGGCAGATAGCTGTAGTCGAACCGGACCAGCTTATTGTCGGACACGTTCAGCCAGACCAGGGACGAGAGGCTGGTGAACGCGCCGCGGATATCGATCAGCTGGTTTCCGTCCAATCGGATCGCCCGTAACGCCGGGTTACTCGCGAACGCGCTCTGCTCCACGTGACGGATGTAATTGTTCGCCAGGTTCAGCACTTGCAGCGAGGGCAACGCGGCGAACGCCTCCCGGGTCACGTTCTCCAGTCTGTTGTCCACCAGCCGCAGACCGTACAGCTCTCTCAAACCGGCGAACGAGTCGTTCTCGATTCTGGACACGTGGTTGCTGCCGAGGTCGAGGGTCTTCAGCGAGTGGAGCGCGCGTACCGCGTGCGGCACCTCCGTTAGATTGTTTCCGGTGAGAGAAAGGTCCTGGAGGTCGGTCAGATTGTCGAACACATGACGATGCACCGTGTTCAATCTATTCGTGTCGAGGAACAGCTGGCCGAGAGTGGCCAGGCCGACCGTGTGCGACGGATCGAACCTGGCAATTCTGTTGTTCGATAAAGCCAGCGAGTGCAGATTCGTCAGAGAACCGAAACACCCGTCCACCAGGGTCTCGATGTCGTTGTTCTCGAGCTTCAGAATCTGCAGGCTGTACAGGCTCTTGAACACATGGCCGTCGATTCTCGTCAGCCTGTTGAAGGAGAGATCGAGGCTGACGAGGCGGACCAGCCTGGAGAACGTGTCCCGATTCACCCAGCGGTTCGTCAATTGGTTGTTGCTGATGTCGAGCAATTGTAGCTCGATCAGATTATCCAACAGTCCCGGTGCCAGAACGGCCAAAGAGTTGTTGCTCAGTATCAAGTCCCTCAACTCCTTGGTCCTGGAGAAAAGTTCGGGCGGAAGGGCGACCAATCTGTTGCTGGACATGTTCAGCAAACGGAGCGCGGTCAGTCCGGCGAGCGCGTGATCGTCCACGATCGTGATCACGTTCTCCTGCAGCTTCAGCACCGTTAGGCTCCTGAGATTGCTGAGCGTGCGGTCCGGCAGGGCGGTGATGTCGTTGCAGCTCAGATCGAGCACCTCGAGGCTCGGCGTGCACGACTCGACCATATCGGAGAAGCCGAGGGAGACGATGTCCTGTAACTTGTTGCGCGTCAAGTTCAGGCTCGAGAGAAACCTTACGGGGCACAGCAGCTCCGACGGCAGCGTCCATAGGTTGTTCTCGGAGAGATCGAGGTGCTGCAAGCTGCTAAGGCCGCGCAGCGAGTCCCTGTGCATCTCGAGGGTCATCGCGGACCAGTCGCCGTTGCGCGTTCTCACCGCGAGGCTACGCAAATTGTGGGCGGACGCGAACACACCGCCGGGCAGATAGCGGATCTTGCAATTGTCGACGCGTAGCTTTTCCAGCCGCGGCAGGGGCGAGAGGAACCCGTGGGGGTCGTCGATCTGGCTCTCGAAGAAGAGCACGTCGCTGCAGTTCAAGGCCAGAGAGCTGATCGAGTCCTCTTGAATATCCGAGAGATTGCCAATTAAGCCGGGCACGTTGGCGATAGTCCGAACCTTGCACTCGAGCTCCTTCTCGCCGTCGTCGCCGTCTTTCTTCCACTCGCAGCCGCTCGGTGCCTCGAGACTGGTGATGCTGCGGCCCAGCGCCGGGCCACAGTTCAGAACCAGACACCAGACGATCCCCAGTACAGTTACGGAGCACCGTGATGCCTCCATTCTGGCTATCTAGGGTCCGTAGTCACGTTCCTCCTGAGTAGTCGCTGCGATGCTAACGGGGGACGTGGGGGCCAACCGAGTCGTACCGTCACGCACTCATAGTCACAACACTCGGTGTTCGCGAACCGTGCACAGGCTGCTCGTTTTTCACACGACGAATTGAAATCGCGAGAACCAGCAACGTATTACTTCCGATTCGCTCCTATACGATTCGGAGCACCCGTCGGCCGAGCGAGCTGGCTCGACGATCAACCACTGACTAAACACTAAACCGACGACAAAGACGAAAACAAAGGCAAAGACGTAGACGAAGACGAAGACGAAGACGATGACCTCGTCCGACGATGTCCGTGGGTCTCGTATAAACACTGATCGGTCATAACCGGATCGCGACGCGAGAACGCCGATGACGAAAGAGGGTCTCTTCTTCTCTCCTCTCCCTCGTGAGAAACTACTTGCGCGGGTAACAGGCGAGCGGAGAGCGGCCGAAGCGCGACGACATGCCACCACGAACGCCGGAGAGGAACTGACTCCGAGCTCGAGTCCCTATTCAATCGACGGTCACGCACCCTGCATGACTGCCGGCGTGCACCTAACCCCCACCAACTTCCCCCACCAACGGTTGGTTCTACCACCACCGCCGGGAACAGCTACCCCCACCAAGAACGCCAACGAAATTCCCTCGTTGAAGGTATATGCGGCGGGAACGCACGGATGGATGGGGGTGCACGCCGCGAACGAGCGAGCGAGCTAGCGTGCGAGCGTGCGAGCGAGAGTGCGAGTAAGCCAACGTTCCACGCCACAGGCGGCTCGCGAAGATGCAACAAACCAGCTGACTGACAACACTACTTACTAGGTAAACACCAAACTGGTTCTCTAGGCGTACGGGCGCGCATTTATCAAGCCGCGCCGTTCTCGCCCCTCGTCCCGTATCTCGTCCCTCTACCCCACCCTCGAGCGGTTTCTTACCTCGCTGCGCGAGCCGCACACGGGCTCTTCTTCAACGGGGTTGTTGTTGCTGCTTAATAGCCCCGGCGAACAGTGGCCCCGACGCGTCTCGACAAAAGAACGCTTCGCAAACAGACAACCCCCGTGATTTGTTCGCGGTGCCACCGACCGGGCCCCGATTTGTTCGCAACACCTTCCACCGTGGAGAGTGGGGGCGCGAGATGTCGGGAGCTGGTCCACCTCCTCGTCGGAAGTCATCCTACCGCCGCACAGTGGGGCGTTTACGCCGAAAACGCAGCGAAAAATTTGATTTTGTAGAAATATTAGGTCTACCGGAAAGTTCTGTCCGTTTTTAAATTGAAATATAACACAATTTTCATACATTTAATAATATTTATTGTAGAATATACTTTCCATCGTTACTTATGACTTCTTGCCAGCGTGATGACAACTTGTAAATGCCATGTTTAAAAAATGATTTATTTTTAGAGGCGAAGAACTCAACTAGTGCTTGGTTGACATCAGCTTCAGTTTTGAATTTTTTTTCCTGTAAAAAGATTTGCAAAGAGAGAAACAAGTGATAATCGGAGGGTGCTAGGTC